GGTTGGGTTGCCATCCAGCCACCCCCTCTCTCCTCCCTCCCTCTCCCCCCCACCACATGCCCTTCTCCCCAGCTGCCTTTGTGATTCAGGGGCGGCTGAGTGTTTATCCCAGCCGGGCCTTGCCTTGTGTGGGTTTCCATGGAAAGCCTCCACCGAAAACAGGAACACAAGCAGGGGTGACTCAGAGAAGATTGGAGAGGGAGGGGGGGCAGATGAGAAAGAATATCTCCCCTCCCCCCTACCCACCCAAAAACACAGAATCAAGCCGGAAGGGCCACAGGATGCCAAGCCATAAGGGGTGTGGGGGGGGGAAAGGTTGTGGATACGCTCCCCACTCCACCCCATAGCCTTCCTTCCAAGCCCCCCCCCTCTGTTTACAAGGGAACTGAGGGATGAGTAAGAGAAGCTCACACGCACACACATGCATGCAGAGAGCAGATCGCTTGGCACAGAGAGGCAGTCGGGCTGCTCTGCAAGGCCTGTTCCAGAAGGAAGTCTCTGTGAGTGCTGGGTCCAAGCTGAGACCCTGTGGGGAGGGGAGGGGGCACCCACAGAGGCCAGCTGGGAGGGGACTGGTCTGGAGGGGAGTGACCCCCTTTCCTTCCCCACAGCCCGGATTCTGGAGAGCAGGGAGCCCTACTTCACATACAGAGTTCCAGCTGAGGATGATGCTTGGTTCAGAAAGGAAGGCGGTAGAAATGGGGGGGGGGGGCAAAGCCTTCTGTCTCCCTGAGCCTGACCTTGCTGGAGGCAGATTCCCGGAGGGGCCGAGGCGGTCTTTGCAGGAGATCCAGGAAAGGGTTGAGCCAAGACTAAACAGCTTCCCCCTTGGCGTGGCTCTGGAAAGGTTCGAGATCACACAGAATCCCTCCCTATTCACCGAAGTGGAGGGGGCATGATGAGCGAGGAGGGGCTGGCCACGCGCACGCCCCCCCTCCCAGCCAGAGCGTGCAAAAGAGTGACACCTGCACCCTGAGGCTCGGCAGGGCCCTGCCAGGTGGCCTGGATCCTACCAGAGCCAACCTCTCCACCTGGGAGGAGAGGGAACCAAAGAGAGCAGAGGCTCTCCTGCAGAGGCTGAGCGCCAGAGCGAGTGAGCGAGCGAGCGAGCGAGGGGATGAGGATGATTCCGGCACCACAAAACGCGCCCTCCATCTGCCTGCCTGCCTGCCTGCCTGCCTGCCTGCCTGCCTGCCTGCCTGCAGCTGTTTTAAAGACAGCCTGGGCTGCCCCTCTGCAGGGGGTTGAGCAGCCAAGAAGGCAGCCAGCTGTTCCTGCCTTTCTCAGCCTATCCACGCTCCCACCTGCTTGCCCCACCAGCCCACGGCAGCCTCCTGGCTGGCTGTCACCCTCCTCTGCAGAGCCACTTCTGGGGCTGTCCTGCAGCAGCAGCAGCAACAACGAGACCAGGCTTGCCGGGAGGGAGTCACCAGTGCCCTCTTGCGTAGGAGTCCAGAAAGACAGGGAGCGGAAGAGAGGCGGAAGGAATACAGGGCCATGTAATCTTAGTATTTTCATCTGCCCTTTATTTAGAACCTTGAGGACCAGAAACTTCATGCTTCGGGTGAGGAATGTGTCTTGGCGAATGAGCCTTCGCTCTGCACACAGAAAAGTCCCCCAAGCTGAACTCCCAGCAGCTCGCTTCTCTACTGGAGACCTGATCCTGCCCTCTGCTGGCGACAGGAAAGACCCTTTTCCTCATCCTCCACCTTAGACTTTGGGGAGCTGCTGTCAAAGCAAATAATAAGGATCGACCCACATTCTGACCCGTTATCAGGCTGTGTTCCAGTGAGGAGAGAGATAACAAGCGGAACCGCCTGGGAACCCACACGGTGGTCTTCTCTGCCAGGAGAAGTCCTGGCCTCCTTCTCTCCCACCAGGAAGGGCTGTTTTACGGAGGAAACCGAGGATCTTCTGACTCGGTGTGCCAAGCAGAGAGGAAAAAAGGGGGGGGGGCAATATGTGGTGAAAAGGCGACTCCGGTGTCTTGTGGCCACCAGCAAGCACAGGATAAAAAGTATGTGAAAGGCCACCAAAATCAGCAGGGAAATTTCTCCTCCGTGGCTCCACGCCACAGGCCGGGCTTTCTGTCCACTCCTCCTCCCTGCCAAGAAAGGGCAGCACTTCAACCTGGTGACTTCCTAAACTGGTCCAAGAACTCGAGGTAGGCTTTCTTCTGGGGTGCCGAGGCCGGGACAAAGTGTCCCCCTGGGTGGGTGAGGACCACAGGCTCCGTGAAGTGGGAGGCCAGCTCCCTGCTCATCTCCGCCGGGATGACCCGATCCGTCTCCCCCAGGACGTGCAGGCTGGGCACCGCGATGGGCTCCTGGTAGTAAAGGCGATGGGAGGCGGCCCGGCTGCTGAAGCCGGCGATCAGGATGGCAAAGCCGAAGGGGAAGCGGGGGTCTCCGCGCTGCTTCAGGGCACAAAGGATGCCCACCAAGGCCGCTCCCTGGCTGAAGCCCAGCAGCCCGTCCACAGGGCCCTGCTCCGCCAACGCCCGGGCCACGGCCTCCAGGGACTCCTCCAGGCCTCGGCAGGAAGAGGAGTCTTCAAGGGCGTCGAAGGTCCCCTCCCTGGCGTTGGAGAACCACCAGCCCCGGGAGTCGGCCTCTGGGCAGCCAGGCGCGGCGCCTCCTGAAACAGAAGAGGGAGAGGAGGAGGAGGAGGAAAAGCCCACAGGGACTGGCCTCCCTTTCTTAAGGCTTTCCCTTTTCCTCCCCAACTGGAGCTCTGGGTCGCTGGGGGGGGGGC